CAGTGTTTTCTCTCAAATGCGGGACCACTTCAGCTTAAAGAAGAGCATTCTTTCTCCTTTTTTTTCTTTTTATAACCATTTTTGATTACATTACCTTTTTTTAGGTTAATATGATTTCCTCCTTTTTCGTTCTATTTCCTGCAGAAGCGGTCACACATCCCGGATACTGCTTTGATGAACTACTGTACGGCCTCCATGGGACAAGCTGAAAACTGACAACTTAGAAGAGTACTTCGGAATGTATAGGCAACTGGCTTGCGTCTAATATCACGTGTCTACAAGGCACATTTGCGAAGATGAAAACAGAATACTGCTGTGGAGCACAATGTCAACGGTCACTACAGCTAGCAATGGAAACTAGAAAGATCTTTCCAAGCGAGCGGATACTTGACGCCCTACCTGCAACGTGGTACACCTGCAATGTGGCCCTGGGCTGTAAAAAAATAAGGCACAGCCTCCCGGCCTTGGGCTATGTGGCCAGCTGTGCAGTCTACACCACCTTAAAAAACCTAAGGGGCGAAAAATACAAGGCCGCGTCGGCAGCACGAAACAAGTTGGCTACAGTTCGCTCGCACAGGAAGACAAAGCTGGTGTAAATGCTGTAGCGAAATGAATGTTTGCATTAATGCCAAGAATGCCAAACAAAAGAAATGAAAAGCTGAAACTCGATCAAAGACACTCGCTGCCAACCGTCATGGATGTCAAGAAGTGAACTCGGACCAAGGAAGAGTATGTCTGACGCCTGTGATGATGAACCCATCGTGAGTTCGAGCTGAAGCATGTGTTGGACTGCAGTGAAAACTTTCAACTGAGGAACGTTTGTTGCAAGATACGCTAAGAGGTCAAGGCTAAACAAATTAGTTTGTGTCCGGCCAGCAACATGCTTGCGCTTCATCCTCATGCAAAGGCAACTGCTCTCTGAGGTCGGTGGATCTGTGTGTGTGTGTGTGCAGATAATCGGTGTCCTTGTAGCAGTCTGTTGGGTATCTTGTGGTGCTACAACAAAAATGCCAACATGCTGCTCAGATATTGTGTGTCTTGGTGTCACATAATCTACAGCATCTAAGATGCATGTGTGTAAATGTTTTTGAAGACGGATATTTTCAGAACTTATGGATACCAGGAGGCTCGTTTCGCAGTGTTCAAAGGTGACCGATTTCTTCTTTATGACTCTTCTGCATTGTAAATGCAAGCAACTTTGAATATCAAGCTCCCATGCCCACTTCTGTTTGTGTGCAAAACTTGTTTTTAGCCGCCCTAACTGTGTCGTTTCACAGACTCGGTACTGTCGAAGTACATCTGCATATGGGGCAACGCTCGGGTATTACGGTACTTTTTTTGCAAATATAAAGTTTTCATATTATGACATTGCGAAGAAATAGGTCACTGGTGTTTTTCGATGTAGTAACCAGATAGGTTGCTTGCTGCAAAACAAGTACTATATTTGGACAGGCAGAGTGCTTTGAATTGCTAAACATTTGCAGGTTGATCACAGGTCTAAGAAAAGTTTGCCAAAATATGTGCAATACATTTTTCAAACTATGTACAATACATTTTTCAAACCAGCACATCACAATTTTAGAATGTTATTACTTTTATACTTGTCTGGCAATTTGGGTCCCGTTGCTGTTGCATCAGTTGTCCCTAAGGGTAGTGTACTCGGGCCTCTATTGTTTCTAATATATATCAATGACCCTACCATTATCAATTAAATCGACAATTAGACGTTTTGCTCATGCTTGAGTTACTCCTCTATTAATCACAATATTGTCCAAGACGATTTAGATACAATATCACCATGGTGTTCCCTGTGGCAGATGAACGTTAACAGATATAAATGCAAAGAAATGTCCATAATTAAGTCTTCCACTAAAACTCCAACCCAGTACTTGTTACTTTCCGAACCACTAGAACACTCACTGTCGTACAAGTATTTGGGCGTGTATTTTACAGACTCATTATCATGGATTGAGCAAATAACAAATAGTGCACTAAAAACACTTAATTTGTGAAAAAAGCCATTTGTACAAGAAAATTCTTGTGTTCAATAAACGCATGAATCATGCAAAATATATAATAACCATATAAGAACTATATAAGATATATAAGAAACTTCTTACAAATTTCTTATATTCTAATCTAGTTCTTATAGGGCTCTTATATGTTCTTATATATCTTGTATGATTCATATGTGTTTATGGGACGCAGAAGTTTCTCATACAAATAAGATTTTTCAGTAGGGATCTAGCTCTTATTAAAGGAAAACTACTCGCATACAAAACATTTATCCTCCCACCTTTAGAATATGCGAGCATAATTTGGAATCCACTCCTAAGTTACCTATAATCTAGAGGCTCGAATCTTCAGAACAAAGCAGACAGATTTATATGTAGTGATTATTCATCCGAAACTAGTGTCTCCGCTTTAAAAGCTAGCATAAATCTTCCTAATCCGGAAAGAATACAAAAAATAGTCTGATTGTGTTTTTTTTTGTTTTTTTTTAAGATGTATATTATTCAGACTCCAATTTTCAATCTACTTAGTGCTGGGCTGCCCATTTCATATCATTTATATTAGATAATTCCTTCAAGATTGAACCATTTCAGTGCCATAGTTACACTTTCCTCTTCCTTAGTACTTTGCAACACTGACTAGAACAAACTACCTGACCATATTGTAACTGAGAGATATCCCATTTCATTTAAAAAGTGCATCAATTTGTGTAACTGAACTTTGGTTTGTAAAACTGCATCATAACATTAACATGCTAAAAAGCGGTGGTGTGTGTGTGTGTGACATTTTCTTTTTGTTGGTGTCTTTTTTATGTTCAATTACTATTTTGTCTTATTTTTTTTTAAATTTCCCCTGATGTAATGGGTCTTTGGATGCCTTTGAGGTGAATAAATTAAATGAAATGAATGCCTCTGCATCATTTTTCCAATTGTTACTTTAGTTCATTTTATCTGGTCCTACTACTTCGATTATTATCATTTCATAGGGATTATTTTTTATTACACAAGTCCCATGTCGTTCAGAGATAATTACACCACCAAGTTTATCGCTTAAAAAAATAACACATCTGTCTCAAGATATCACTTTCTTGTATTTCACTACAATAATTGTAGGTTATAAGAATTTTCCTGCGTTCTAAAATTGGTTCTTTATATCACTCGGCGTTCAGAGCTTTCATGTTAGCTCATAAAAAATAAATAGAGCGAAAACCCGCGTTTCTACGACGTAAAAGCTACGCGCGAAGCCTTCAGCTCAGCTCTATAGCGCGGCGGTCGTCAGCCTGCTGCCGTGACGTCACCGGAGGCGTGTGCTGGCCTTCTCCTCTAGGTGGTGTTGCCGTAGCCCCCCCCCCCCCCCCCCCTCCCCCAATCCGGCAACGCCTGCCACGAGAGCGGCGGCCGTAGCCCCCCCCCCCCCCCCTCCCTCTCTGGCAACGCCTGCCACAAGAGCGGCGGCCGAACTCGCGCTCTCGTGAAGTGGCCGCCAATGGCTATCTAGCACACACATATATATAACAGATATTCACGCGCGCACAGACACACAACTTATATATATATATAGGGTGTTATTTTTAAGCTTAACAGATTTGTTTTAAAAAAGCCGCTTGTGAATGTGAGTTATACGGCCAGGGGGACAAAATATAGGGGCTAATTGTAACGATCAGCCGGCTAATTAGTTAAAATTCGTTAATTAATTTTTTTAAATAATGAAAATAGACATATGGTTCCAATTAGAAACTTGCTCAGCGTCATCGGAAACCACTAAATCAGTAATTTTCAGAAAAGCTTTGAGCGCGTGAGAAGCGTAGTAGTGCACTAAAGTTACCACTCGTGGAGCAGGTAGAAAGCTAGCGGTTGCGATAAGGCTCCCGCCCGATTTTTTCGTCTCTTATCTAGCCCCAGCCTCGTACCTGCTCCACGAGTGGTAACTTTAGTACGCTACTACGCTTCTCACGCGCGGAAAGTGTTTCTTAAAATGACTGATTTAGTGGTTTTCGATGACGCTGAGCAAGTTTCTAATTGGAACCATATGTCTATTTTCATTAATTAAAAAGTTAATTAACGAATTTTAATTAATTAGACGACTGATCGTTACTATTAGCCTCCTATATTAAGTTCCCCTGGCGGTATAACTGACCTCCATAAGCGGCATAAGTGTAACTTTCACGGCTTTTTTTAAACAAATCTGTTAAGCTTAAAAAAAGACACCCTGTATAAAGGTGAGGCAGAGTAGCTTGAGAACAATGGACCGGAAAAATGTAATAAGTCAGAGATCCGGACTTGCGGAGTTGCTATGCTAGGAGTTTATTGTATGTTTATACGACCGTTTCGCCGAGAGGCTCGGCTTCGTCAGGAAATGGCATACATACTCCTGACGAAGCCGTGCCTCTCGGCGAAACTGTCGTAATACCTACAAATAACTCCTAGCATGGCAACTCCGCAATTGTTTTTTTCTGCATAGTGTGCCCCCTTAAGCTTATGTGTATATTGCATGTTCCAAGCACCAAAAGCGTTGCTTCTGGCTTTGATAATCAAATCTCGTAAGAACTTTGCGTGGCGTATAAACAACGCGCAACACTTCCTTTTTTTTTTCAGGCGACATCGAGTCTGGTGAGACAGAGCATAGTCACGTGTCTCTCTCCTACGCGTTAATTGGCTCACCTGGACCGTAGCCTTCGCCGTTTAACAAGATACCGTGAAACGTGTTTATACTCTCTCTCACTAAAAGCGTGCAATACAGCCAAAGCTACAGGGAAGAGAGCGTATGCCAACCTGTTCAAGAGAAGGGATAGGAGGAACGGTAGAGAAGGGCTGGGATCCCCTCTCCTCTTTTCACTCCTCTTGAACAAGTCTGGATACACTCCCTTTCCTGTAGCTCCGGCTGTACTGCACGGTTTTAGTGAGACATAGAAAAGCTGCTACCCCAACCAAGCGTGAAAAATGGTACATTCTCATTCCCTTTGCTCTGACTCATCTATCGACTTCCAGGTGATTCAACGTCGGACCGAATATGAAGTCACCAATGACAAGTTCGAGAAAGAATTTGAAGATTATGAGCGTGGATTTAGGACAAGAGCCGGTAGAGCCCTCTGGATAGGCAAGTACAAGTATATAAATCCATGTGTATTTGCATCTCAGAAAAGGCAACCCGCATCTGGAGCGCATGTAGGAGATCTTTTAGGAGATCTTCACTGTCATGTGCCATCCGAAGAATTTCCAGCAGAAAGTATAATTACAAAAAACAAATGAAAAAAGAAAGTAAATATTAGAGAAATATATAACTATACATCGCTTCAACTCAGGTCTCAGCAAAGCCAAAACTACAGCCCGAACCCTAATCCTTTGTACGTACCTGTCTCGCATGCGGCCTCATGGTCTGTTGGCACCGTTTTTAGGCTGCATGTATACGCAGTTGCAGCTATAGGATCGCTCCCACGAAAGCAGAAAGAAAGTATGAAATAAACCTGCTTAAACTCCGAACAAACCCGAACTCTTCACAGGATCATGTAACTGACTCTGAACTTTAGCATAGATCGGGACCGTGTTGTCGTATGTGAAACGCTTCATGAATTTCCCTAGCCATTTCTTGTAAATGCTTAGCCAAATTTTCAATGTCACCTAACCAAGATGAACAGCCACACCTATCGCAATGAACGGCTAGGTGACCCGAAGGTGAAGACCTCAAAGAGAGAGAATGCTCCCCAGTTCTAACATTAATACATTTGCCCGTCTGCCCATTATACACTTTACCACAGGGAAGGGGTATTTTATAAACGACCCCCACAGCACAAGCTACATATTTGATGCATTGGCTTACCCACACCCTACACGTTGAAGTCTTGCTCTCTCAATGGAAGCACACAAACGAGATAACTTGGAAGCTGCTGGAAAGACTATAGGGACTTTGTATTTAACAGTAACTTTTTAATCCTGCGGGAGAAGCTGTGCAAATATGGTATTACCACCGATCGAGAAGCAAGTTTTTGTCTAACGTTGTCAAGTATGCTAAGAGGATACCTGAATAATTTTAAAAGTAACTCCGATACTCCCATTATGACAAGTTCCGAGAAACCAACTTTTGTTAACCTATCGACTTAAACCAAAAGTTGTAGAAAACTTTTGTGAAAACAGGATTTCAATAAAGAAACTCTAAAACATGATCTTGCAATAACTCATTTTACAACTTTTGAGTGCGTAGATTCATAGCTAAGGAGCGAATTTTTTGATCTAGGCTCAGAAGCCTAGCACAGGTGACTCGGCTCAAGATGAATGCTCAGGTCCAAAATTTGCAAACCCGTTTAGTTGGAACCTCATTCGTAAACTGCAGAGCCCAAGAGCACTCCTGAAGGGTATCAATACCTCTGGGACAAAGTCAAAACTTCTTGAGCCCTGCTTAGCTTTTGGGAGGCAACCGATCCGTTTAAGTCAACCCAAAGTTGGACCACCTGAATGAGACCCCCATGGGCAATAGACTAGAAAAGATCTTCCACGTCCATCGAAACCAAATCACAAGTTCCTAGGTTGTCATTGCTTAGATAATCTACCAATTCTTCAAAGTTCCGAATTAAAAAAAGATCAGTTAACATCAAAGATGACAGGCGATGCTGGAGATACTTCGAGACATGCAACTGCAATGACTCTCTCTACGTAATGATCGCCCTGAACGGCAGGGTGTTCTTATGGGTCCTCACAAAGAAGAAAAGAGCAGATTGAGACCACGAGGCACCTGGAAAGAGTTTCGAAGCCTTTCTAAACAAAGCTGCTTACAAGGTTGCGCAGCACGCGTCTTCACCTTGCCCAGAACTGCATCTGAAACAGATTTGATTTTTTGGCATCCTCCCTCCTTATCAGAAACCAGCAGCTTTAACCCAGAGTCGTTGAAAAAAGAGAGAATAGGGCCGAAATAAAATTGATGCACAGGTTTCCTGGTGTCCCGCTCCATTTTTCTACAAAGTCCAGGATACACTTGACTTTTCCTCAGCAACAGTCTTCTCAGATATTCGTCTCACAAGGGAAAGCATTCCCTGGGGCTTCAAAAGGGGCTCAGTAGCGTACTTTGGACCCTTATTCCATAAGTTTGTGATAGAATCAAATGCAGCTGCATCACCTAAAACACAACACTGTTCCCTGCACTAGGCGGGTCTGTGTGTTTCTTAGGGAACGTCGAACATAGATGCAGCCATAAGAACTCGGTAATACGTGAAAACTCAAATCGACACGCACGAAGTATTCTCCTGGTGCTGTGTTCTTTAGTGCACGTGTTATAAAACCACACATTTAAGCAGTCATACAGACATCTGACTTGCCTCCCGTGTTCCGAGCGGAAAATCTTGGATACGCGCTAGGCATGTCCAGATGACGGAGACATCGATCCAAAAAGGTTTATTACCTCATGGGGGTAAATGCAGAAGTATTAATGTTAGAGCTCGGGAGCAAGTGAATATTGTGCAGACAGGCAGATGTAGTATTATTAGAGCTAGAGAGCAAGTGTATATTGGGAAAAGGGGCCGATGTATTAATGTTAGAGCTCGGGAGCAAGTGCATATTGGGTAGACGGGCAGATGTATTACTGTTAGACCTCGGGAGCAACTGTATATTGGGAAGACGGGCCGACGTATTGGGCAGACGGGCACATGTATTAATGTTAGAGCTCGGGAGCAAGTGAATATTGGGCAGACGGGCAGATGTATTAATATTAGAGCTCAAGAGCACGTGTATATTGGGCAAACGGGCCGATGTATTAATGTTAGAGCTCGGGAACAAGTGCATATCGGGTAGACGGGCACATGTATAAAAGTTAGGCCTCGGGAGCAAGTGTATATTGAGAAGACGGGCCGATGTATTGGGCAGACGGGCACATGTATTAATGCCAGAACTCGGGAGTAAGTGTATATTCGGCAGACAGGCACATGTATTAATGTTAGAGCTCGGGAGCAAGTGAATATTGGGCATGCGGGCAGATGTATTAATTTTATAGCTCGGGAGCAAGTGTATATTGGGCAGACGGGCAGATGTATTAATGTTAGACCCCAGGAGCAAGAGAGTATTCGGCACACGGGCCGACGTATTGGGCAGACGGGCGCATGTACTAATGTTAGAGCTCGGGAGCAAGCGAACATTGGGCAGACGGGCAGATAGATGTATTAATGTTAGAGCTCGGAAGAAAGTGTGTATTGGGCAGACGGGCAGATGTTTTAATGTTAGAGCTCGGGAGTAAGTCCATATTTGGCAGACGGGCAGGTGTATTAATGTTAGAGCTCGGGAGTAAGTGTATACTGGGCATACGGGCAGATGTACTAATGTTAGCGCTCGGGATCAAGTGAATATTGGGCAGTCAGGCAGATACATTAATGTTAGAGCTCCGGAGCAGGTGTATATTGGGCAGACGGTAGATATATTAATGTTTGAGCTCGGGAGCAAGTGTATATTGGGCAGACGGGCAGATGTATTAATGTTAGAGCTTGGGACTAAGTGTATACTGGGCATACGGGCAGATGTACTAATGTTAGCGCTCGGGATCAAGTGAATATTGGGCAGTCAGGCAGATACATTAATGTTAGAGCTCCGGAGCAGGTGTATATTGGGCAGACGGTAGATATATTAATGTTGGAGCTCGGGAGCAAGTGTATATTGGGCAGACGGGCAGATGTATTAATGTTAGAGCTCGGGACTAAGTGTATACTGGGCATACGGGCAGATGTACTAATGTTAGCGCTCGGGATCAAGTGAATATTGGGCAGACAGGCAGATACATTAATGTTAGAGCTCCGGAGCAGGTTATATTGGGCAGACGGTAGATATATTAATGTTGGAGCTCGGGAGCAAGTGTATATTGGGCAGACGGGCAGATGTATTAATGTTAGAGCTCGGGACTAAGTGTATACTGGGCATACGGGCAGATGTACTAATGTTAGCGCTCGGGATCAAGTGAATATTGGGCAGTCAGGCAGATACATTAATGTTAGAGCTCCAGAGCAGGTGTATATTGGGCAGACGGTAGATATATTAATGTTGGAGCTCGGGAGCAAGTGTATATTGGGCAGACGGGCAGGTGTGTTAATGTTAGAGCTCGGGAGTAAGTGTATACTGGGCATACGGGCAGATGTACTAATGTTAGCGCTCGGGATCAAGAGAATATTGGGCAGTCAGGCAGATACATTAATGCTAGAGCTCCGGAGCAGGTGTATATTGGGCAGACGGTAGATATATTAATGTTGGAGCTCGGGAGCAAGTGTATATTGGGCAGACGGGCAGATGTATTAATGTTAGAGCTCGGGAGTAAGTGTATACTGGGCATACGGGCAGATGTACTAATGTTAGCGCTCGGGAGCAAGTGAATATTGGGCAGACGGGCAGATGTGTTAATGCTAGAGCTCGGGAGCAAGTGAATATTGGGCAGGCGGTCAGATGTATTAACATTGGAGCTCGGCAGCAAGTGAATATTGGGCAGACGGGCAGATGTGTTAATGTTAAAGCTCTGGAGTATGGGTGTACTGGGTATATGGGCAGACGTGTTAATTTTAGAACTCGGGAGTAAGTGTATATTGGGCAGACGGGCAGATGTATTAATGTTAGAGCTCGGGAGCAAGGGTATATTGGGCAGACGGGCAGATATATTAATGTTAGAGCTCGGAAGCAAATGTATATTGCGCAGACGGGCAGATGTGTTAATGTTAGAACTCGGGAGTAAGTGTATATTGGGCAGACGGGCAGAGGTATCAATGTTAGAGCTCGGGAGCAAATGTATACTGTCCAGACGGGCAGATGTATTAATGTTAGAGCTCGGGATTAAATAAATATTAGGCAGAGGGGCAGATATACTAATATTATAGTTCGTGAGTGGGTGGATATTGAGCAGACGGGAGACGTATTAATGTTAGGGCGCGGGAGCAACTGTATATATGGCAGACGGGCGGATGTATTAATGTTAGAGCTCGGGAGCAAGTGTATATTTGTCGGACGGGGAGATGTACTAATGTTAGAGCCGGGGAGAAAGTGTGTATTGGGCAGTCAGGCAGATGTATTAATTTTAGATCTCGGGAGCAAGTGTATACTGGGCAGACGGGCAGATGTGTTAATGTTAAAGCTCGGGAGCGA